GAAACGTCTGGGATTGTACCGCATCCACGGGCAGACTTTGAAAATAATTATGCATACAATGGACTCAGGACAAGGTACTTTTTTATTAGTCTTCCTACCAGTATGACCAAGTTGCGAAAACAAGGTCAAACAATTTCTATAATAACTTATTTTTATATAATTTTTTTAGTTATCTTTATCCATAATATAGCTAAGATTTTTTTGTGATAACTACAATGGTATAAAAATATGGTGCCATTTGAGGCACCATTTCTAGACCACGCTAGTCAAACTATAGTCATGGTTTTGCCTTAAATCTATTTATTTATTTCCGAAAATCTTTTGCTTAGCATTTTCTATATTAGCATTTTTTAATTTTAAAAAATTAATTTTATCCATTTCATCCTCATTATAACCTGCTTCGTGGAATAAAGGCGATATCCGCATTGGGCCTACTGGCGAGGTATGGGTACATCGGGAATGTGTGCTTTGGGCACCTGGCACTTATCTGCGCGGCGACGGCGTAATCGGTGGACTTGGCGAAGCGGTACAGATGGCCTTATTCGTGGTACTTTCCTTTGATAACCTTTCTCTTCGGCACTTGCAAAAACTAAGTGTACGATAAACGTCGTCAGAAGTAGTACTCTACATAAATCTTGCAAGTATATAGAAAAAGGCTGAATATGAATACTCATCTTTCATTTCTATCTTCATATTCAAACGTATAATAATAAAGACATATTTGGGATTCTGTGGTTAGATTTCTAAAGGAAATTGGTTGGAACGAATTTATAAAATTGGTTAAAATGAAGCCAAAGGAGGGTTGCAGTGGAGTGAAAAAGTCCTCGGCTCACAGTCCTGCTGTTCCGATAAACCTGTGCTAGGTTTACGTCTGTCATATGGCAGACATCATCAGAGCAGAAATCCATATTATATGAACTATTGCACCAATATACTAAGCCAAGACAATGGATGGCGGGCTGCAACCCTTGTCATCCTTCATTTCTGGTCTTGCTGTCTTTATGATGCATTCCATGATTTTGTTGGCTATTTAAAACTTACCATACCTGTTTGTAGTTGAGTAAGGTAAATTAATGAATGAGTAGATTTGGTGCCGGCTGATTCCTTGAAGAAATAAACTAGCGTAGGATCATATAATGTTGACTTACGTTTATGAATGCGCTATTGCCTTTGTGTGTATATAATGTAGTAGGTGGGACAGCCTTAATAAAGCTCTAGGTTATTCTATCCGTTTGTCTAGTGGTTCTTCCTGTTCACTCTCTCCCTTTCTTAAACATATCCAACAACCGTTAATAATTCGTACCCAATTTCCCACACCTGTTCCATCAATTTCGGATATTGGCTGTTTTGCTTATTTCTATATACTTCCCTATCTTACGTTCTGATTTAAAGTTCCTGTAAGCAGCAAACGTTTTTCTCAAGTGTATTAATTTTCCCATTTAGCCATGTATTCTGTGAGCTCAGAGTTTAGCTTAAAAATTCTCTAAAATAAGATATGACTGATTAAAATGTTCATTTCTGTTTACACATTATGATATTCTACTTCCTTGGAATGTTATCTCACCTTTTTTCAAGTTGCAGGAAGGCAAAATCAGGATCCTTGTAAAATGATCTCTTTATCTGTTCCGACCTAAATAGCGATCTTGTCGAATCAAGTATTAAAACGTACTTATCTGTTGATATTAATGAATAATTGTTTCAATTCCTGGTCCTTGTCATTTACGCCTGATAGGCGC